TCCAATCGCCCTTGCCAGTGGGATCTGGCAGAACGTTTTGAGAGATCGCGACCCTCATCATGACTGAATCTGGCCTGCAAGAACCCTACCATACAGACTGCAATAACCCTACCATACACAGAGTGTTACGCGGACTACAGGTTACTAAAAGCTTTCAGGCTGGCAAAAAAAGACAAAAAAAAAAAGCTTTCAGGCCAACGCGCGGCCTCCAAAAAAAGTTTGGCTGCCCGTTTCTTATTTTACGCGAGCAGGGGGCCGGGTCTACTACCGCCCCTCACAATTTATTATTTTTTTTCCGAGCCCCATTTTTGGAGGTGCGCCGCATGCAGTGCGCGCCCGTCATGCGGGATGCGCGGTGCGGTGCACGTGCGCAGTACAGCGCATTGCGATGCGCCGCATGTATGGTCTTAAGTGTGCTCAGGTAGTACGAAATGTCCTAAAGCTTCATAAGGACTATACAATCCTAATCCATCTCTAGCGTACTGAGTTAATTACGTCTGGACACTAGAAAGCTAGTAGAACCTGAATTACAGACATGGGAAGTCTTCAAAGTTCACCAATGTAATTCTATCTCCCTATGCTCCTAATTTCCCCCGGCGCAACTCCCCCCCACCCCCCCAACAAATACCTCAGCAATTGCAGATCTGTCTATTCTGTCCTGGTATCCTGCAAGAACTGAAGTTGCAGATCAGTCAGACTCTGAAAACTCTGACCCAGACATGCAGGGCAGAAATCATGCAAAAGAGTATTGAGTACTATTGACAGAAATCATGAACAAAGTTGAACAAAGACCGACACTATGACTGCGTACCTGCGCCGTGGCCGAAGAGTGCCGACTCTACTACAAGCGAATAGTCGTCGATAAGAAAGATCCACACTTCAAGCCTTCTCTGATACTACGTGCTAGTTGTTAGGAACTTAGGAGAGCTGATACCCCTTTTTCCAGAAATGAAAAAAGCAAAAAAGAAGGCAAATGAAGGCTATTGAGTAGCCCCCTCGCCTACAAAAGACAAAAAGCAGAAAAGGCAAAAAGAAAAAAAAGAAAAACGACCGTGTGGAGACAGAGCACTAAGTGTACATGCTACACAGTTTGCATGCAGAGTTGCAGATGAAAGGGCCGGCAAGAAGAACGATTGCATCGACCAGATGAAGAAAGAAATGAAAATGGACCCTTACCCTTAACCCAAACCTTACCCAACCCTTGACCAAGCCTCATCCAATTAAACAATAGGCCTGGAGTTCGATTCCCCCCCCCCACCCCCACCTACTCTCTCTTTTTTTTTTTTTACAAGAAAGCCGGTACACCTACTCTTAAGCTCCAGCGATGGTGGTTTTCCACCATAGACCGTAAGCTGCAACATTACGGAGAAAGGCTTACTGCAGCTCCGCAGCAGCTACCACGTCTCTCTACCTTATTCCCCCTAGCGTACCTCCCTATCGTCATGAATGTATGCAGACTCTATCCCGGCCAAATACTGTCATAAATCTCATGATCATAATAAAGAGTTAAGTCCATGCGAAGAAGAAGATTACTGCAGTGCTCTAGCTTCTAAGAACCTGAACGAGTGCAGAATCGTCATGAATGTATGCAGACTCTATCCCGGCCAAATACTGTCATGAATCTCATGATCATAAGAAAGAGTTACATCCATGTGAAGAAGAAGATTACTGCAGTGCTCTCGCTTTTAAGAACCTGAATGAGTGCAGACTGAAGCACGCTCAGCCTGGTGGCCTGCATCAGAGGATTGGGACTCCCCAGCACTGTCTCCCACAGCAATAGCCCCAATGAGGCTTTAATTCTTGTTTATGTCAAAATACAAATAAAACTCTATTTTTTAATCCTATTTTGATTCTTGTTTTTTATATGTATGTCTTGAAAAAATAGACAAAAAAAAAAACAAAATGTTAATATTGGAGACGTGGGTAGGCCTGCAAACCTTACCCAAACAGGAAAGTACCTACAACAGTGCACCTTTCCGCACCTTTCCTTTTTTGTCAGCGAAACTACAGGAGCATTTCATGAATTTTCATCCTACTACCTTTTTCCCCCGAATACAACGTAATGTAATTATATCTGTATTTGGGGTATCTTTCAGTCTATATACAGCTATAATGACCGTACGTTGTATTCGGGGGATGAAGGTAGTAACAAAATTCCACGAATATTTCATGTTACTCGTGGGAAAGTTCACGGCTACCGTCTTCACCCGAATACAACACACCCTTATCATGACTGTATCCTACTGGAAAGATAGGTTGTATACATTCATGATGAGGGTGCGTTGTACTCGGGTGAAGACAACTCATGGTGAACGATGAAATTCTCGGCGCCGGACATGAAAGCAATCCACTGGAGGATTGCGGCAAACATCAGCATGCCCTCTCGTAAAGCGCACCACATCATATCTAGGACAAATTGCATATCCGAAATCCACATCACATCTTCGAAATTTTGGATTTTTGAAATGTATCATAAATCCTCCCCCCCCTCCCCTCCAGCTCCCCCCTTCCCTCTTTCCTCCCGACGCTACCTCTTTTCCCCCCTCTCTCTCCGCCCTCCCCACTCCCCCTTTCCCTCCCCCGCCCTCCCCCCCATGCCCCACCCAAACCAGGAAAACACACACACACACACACACACACACACACACACAGATACAAGGTCTCATGATGGAATAGCACCTTGCCCGTGGTTCAAATGCAGGTACATTTTTCGACCCTCGTCCCCACAACTTGCATCCCCCTCCATACCCCCAACATCCCCCCTTTCTTCCCCCCGCCCCCGGTTCGCTGCCCTTCCTTGAAGTTAGATAGACGGACATATGGATTCAACTAGAAGAAACATCCTCGTTATTGTTCCATAAAAAGGGAAGAAGTGGGACGGGGTGGGGGTATGGGGGGAATCCGGGAGATGTCAAGAATAGTTCCATACAAATTAAAAAAAAAAAAAAAAAAAGCAACAAAAATAAAAAATCATTGAAAAATGTCAAAACATAAGAAGAACAAAAAGAATTGTTGCCTACCTGGCGAGTTCCCGACATTTTGTGGCTCAAAGCAGACGATATCCTCTTTTGTGACAATTGGATGGGGAACTCCAGGAACTGGTTTGCAATTAGCGCGTTTCAGCAGGTCATCGATATTCCTCTCACAAGCTCCCTAATTCATTTTGACATGCAGCCAGGGAGCCCCATGAACCCACCCACATGATGGGAGGCATACACCATCAGCCAAAAAGATAGATAGACAGACACACAAATACACACACACACACACACACACACACACACAGAGAGAGAGAGAGAGAGAGAGAGAGAGAAGGAGAGGGCATGCCACGTGGCCCATCAACAAAATGACAGGTCAACCAGAAAAAGAATGGGGCATGCCCCATCAACCGAAGAAAGGATGGGGTATGCAAGTGAGTGAACCACACACACAAGGAATGCAAAATTTGGAAAGAGAATCTCAACCCCCTCTCTCTCTCTGCCCCCCCCCACCACCAAAAAAAAAAAAAAAGAAGTTCCAGACAGAAGAACAACATGAACTTGGAAGTGCAAAAAAGAAAAAGAGAAAAGTGAACTCAAAAGGTGTGAAACACCGTCATGAGCGAGCGCCAACTGGCATGTCCTGACATGAAACATCATCACATGCACGACTGACAGGTCTCGACATGTTTCCATAGGTGCCAGACAGCCGACCTCCTCAGCCTCCTCAGGGCGAATTGAGAGTCGGGGCGTTCAGAGTGTAGGGGGAGGAATAGTTCGTTATTGAGGCAGTAAAAAAAAAAAAAAAAAAAAAAGGAGACGGCAGAACATTCCAATTGATGTGATTACATAAACTAGACTGGGAAACTGGTCATCATTACATCCGTGCTAATTGGGAATAGCAGGTCTGGATTCGCAGAAACAACTAGTACATACAATATATACGTCCACGTTAGCTGCATTACAATGTCAGCTGTGATTACCAATCCATTCATTGACCATCCTAATTAAAAAAAAAAGAAACGGCTGATCCAGAAAAAACCATTGCCATGATTCACGCACAAGTGCCATCAGGCTCAAGTCATTCCACACAGCATGATTGGATAACCTTAAACAAGGAAGGAATGGCACACACACACACACACACACACACACACACACACACACACACACACACACACAGAGAGAGAGAGAGAGAGAGAGAGAGAGAGAATTGAACAGATGTAGGAAACGTTACGTCATTATTGTTACATGATACTGTGTTAATTATCAGACAACGAGTTGAACTTGCACTGCAGCCACACCATGTTGTAATCATCCAATGCAGCAGGCAGAAAACAACGGTCACGATGGTACAGCAGAAACAAGAACGACAACGAGAACAAGGAGAAACGACAACAGAAACGAACACGGAACAGAACCAATTCACAAACATCCAAGGGAGGATTAAGGATGAGGAGGACTGAGGATTAGGGTTAAAAAGGATAGGGAGGGAATTACAGTACTTCATACGTAAATGAGCGGCCGAGATGATCCCTGCTTGTACTAGCTGGCCATTGAACATAGGCAGAAGTAAGGATGAGGTTTGAGGATTGCACTGGTTATTCCAAAAAAAAAAAAAAGAGGTTTAAGGATTGGTATTAAGGATAGGGATTAAGGAGAAGAATGGAGGAGGAGGATTACCATCCTGATTAAGTACCTCTGCAAGGCGAGTGTATTTAAGAATCTCTCGCACCCTGTCCGGGGATGCAGGCGGCCACCCTTCGCTGTCGTCAGCACCCTGCATTGCAACGCAATCACAAGTCATCTTATGAACCGGAAATATGTCAGAGCAATGACCCTAACCCCCCCCCCCCCTCCCCCCCCCTTCTTCATCTCCCACCCAAAAATAGTATGAGGGTCGGGCGGAGGCCGGGGGGGGGATGGAGGGTGGAGGAAAGCTGGGAAGGAGGGGCGAAGTGGTTTACATTATTGTCATAACTCAGATGTGCCGCAGTGAGTCAACGGCGATCTGGTCAGTCCCGGGTATATGCTGCAACGTCTTTTGCTTTTTTTAATCGTGCAGGTCTGTGCCAAATTTTGCCGCCAACTCATTGAATAGACAAATCTGTCAAATCAGCAAAACACATATCCACGCATTTTCACGCCAAATTGCAAAATTGCCTATTAAAGTGCATGGATCATATCTTTGAGTTGGACCTCAAGTCCTATTATTACTCTAAAATTAGTATAAATGATGATGACGATAACTAATAATCACTATTAATGATAATCAATCAGTAATTCCCTCTACGGTAGTTCTTATTAATTTCCACACTGCATGATGATGTGTCCATAATAAAGCTCTTCAATGTACAACCAAGGAAGAAAATCGTGGCCAGGGGGGGAGGGTCGGGGAGAGAGAGAGAGAGAGAGAGAGAGAGAGAGAGAGAGAGAGAGAGAGAGAGAGAGAGAGAGAGAGAGAGAGAGAGAGAGAGAGAGAGAGANAGAGAGAGAGAGAGAGAGAGAGAGAGAGAGAGAGAGAGAGAGAGAGAGAGAGAGAGAGAGGAAAAAAGAAATGAAATAACAGAATTTCAGGAGCGCAATGTGATTCGTTGCAGTCAGTCAGCTGGCGATAACTGCAAAAGAATCCAGATTCTTTTGCAGATTCGTTTGCAGATAATTTCTAGATAGATTCTTTTGCAGATAATTTCTAGATAGATTCTTTTGCAGATAATTTCTCGATAGATTCTTTTGCAGATTCGTTTGCAGGTTCTCTTGCAGATAGATTCTTTCGCAAATTCTTTTGCAGATAGATTCTTTTGCAGACTCTTTTACATATTCGTTTGAAGATATATTCTTTTGCAGACTCTTTTACATATTCGTTTGCAGATAGATTCTTTTGCAGATAGATTCGTTTGCAGATAGATTTTTTTACAGGTTTGTTTGCAGATAGATTCTTTTGCAGATTCTTTTACAGATTCTTTTGCAGATAGATTATTTTTGCAGATAGATTATTTTTGCAGATAGATTATTTTTGCAGACTCTTTCGGAAGTCAGGGATGAAGCACCCCGATCAGGAAAGTAATGCTTAAGAACTCAAAACGCAAGAAACAGTTACGGAATGGGAGAAAGAAGTGCACTCATCGATCGAGACCTGGATTCATTGACCGGGTGACTAGTCGTATTTGCTTCATAGACGAACAAATGGTCAATACTGACTTGATTATTACTCAACTAATCAAAATTTCTATCAATCGACTACAAATTGAATGATCAATCGATCGATTGATTGATTGATTGATCGGTAGATTGATTGATCGATTGATTGATCGATTGATTGATTGATTGATTGGCTCTCTGATTGATTTTATGGATTTGATTCCATGATTGATTGGATTGATTAATTGATTGATTGGATTGATTGATTGATTGATTGATTGATGTCATTGATTGATCGATTAATTGGCTACCTGATTGATGTTATGGATTTGATTCCATGATTGATTAGATGGATGGATGGGTTGATTGATTAAGACGTTTGGCTAGTTATTTGATTTGATTTTGATGGATCGTTTATGATAGCCATTCATTCCGTTGATTGGTTTTGTTTTGAGTTTCATACGCTCTCTATTTTACGTAATTACCCGATGTAACCAACGGCTCCTGTTCCACCATGCGCACGATCCGCACGCGCAAACGGTGGCAGCGGCCACGGGCGTCGGCCACGCGGCCATGAGGAAATGCAGGCCCTGCAGCTGCCACAGACCGAAGGGCAGAGTTGAGACGAAGTGGGTCACAGCACCTCCCATTCTTCCCCTCCCACACAAAACATGCATAAACGCAGCCAAGCGGAAGCCAAACGGACCAAAACGTAGCCGTCTGCCACAAACCGAGCCAAACGGCGCCTGCTGCCACACTTAAAAAAGGGAATAGAAAAAAAAAAAAAACTCATGACACGTCACACGCACCTCCGTTTTTCCCCTCCCTCAGAAAACCGCCCTTAACAGCCACAAACGGAGGCAAACGGAGCCCGCTTCCACAACTCTTATAGTAAAAAAAAAAAAAAAAAAAAAAAAAAAAAACACGTCACATGCACCCTTCCCATTTCTGCCCTCCCACACGCGCCGCCACAGAAAAACAGTCTGTGTGTGTGTGTGTGTGTGTGTGTGTGTGTGTGTGTGTGTGTGTGTGTGTGTGTGTGTCCATGCTCATCGCCAAATTTCTGATATGCCCCGATAGCATCTCTCCCAGGGCCAGGGAAAAGACTGTGAGTGTCAACTACGGCCACAGGGGCTCGCTGGAAAGATGGACGGTAYGAATAAGGGCATATGGGAAACTTTTGTGCTGGTTCTCAACAGCCATCCGGTAGGGGCATACTGAAATTTGGTACTGGTACCGGTAGGGGCATATGAAACATTTTTCAGGCCCAAACGACGCCAGGGGTTTTCTGGAAACATCATTCGTTGTCATAGGGGCGTGACAAGGTAAGTCGGCCGTCAGAGGGGCACGCCGCAAATAAATGCAAACTTCAGGGGCATTTTGAAAATATTCCCTTTTTTCTTTTGTGGATCCTCACTTTTTTTTTTTTTTTTTTT